GCAGAGAGGCAGGCAGAGAGAGAGAGGAAGGGAAGCAGGCTCTCCGCTGAGCAGAGAGCCCGAAGTGGGGCTCGATCCCAGGACCCTGAGACCATGACCTGAGCCGAAGTCAGAGGCTTAACCCACTGAGCCACCCAGGCGCCCCTGTAAGATAATTTCTTAAAGGTCAAAGACTTTTGCTCTCTGATGGTATTATCTGGCCACTGAGCTATACTGCATCCATACACAAGGAAGGCTGGAATTCTGGGAAGTTAACCCCCAAGGAGTGACCCTCAACCAATGAAAGATGGGAATTATTGGCTAAATCCTGCAGCAATGTCAAGTGCCTGTGGGCTGATTCTGAAGGATGATTCATACAGTTTTCATAGGGTCCCTCTGGGACTAAGCCCCAGTGCCCCACAGCAGAAAATTACTTACTTACCAACAATAAGCATCACTTCACTCCTACTTGCTGCTTCCAGGATCATCTTCCAAAGAACCACCTGCCCCCAAGTCCTTGTATAAAGTTTGCTTTTGGAGGAACACAAACCAATACAGGGGATAACAGACGTATCCACTTCCTGGGGCTGTGGTGAGAACTAAATGAGCTCATTCTTGTAAAGGCCATAAAAGAATGCCAGTCACATGGTAGGCACTGGATGTTTGCCATGATAGTGGCAAAAAAAAAAAAAAAAGTCTATCACAAATTTTTCCTAGATGATGAAATTTTGGGGTTAATGACAAGAAGTACTTGTATGGGGGCGCCTGGGTGGCTCAGTGGGTTAAAGCCTCTGCCTTCAGTTCAGGTCATGATCCCAGGGTCCTGGGATCAAGCCCCGTATCAGGCTCTCTGCTCAGCAGGGAGCCTGCTTCCCTTCCTCTCTCTCTGCCTGCCTCTCTGCCTGCCTCTCTGCCTGCTTGTGATCTTTGTCAAATAAATAAATAAAATCCCTAAAAAAAAAAAAAAAAAGTACTTGTATGATGTAAAGAAAGTGCAGCTAGAAAGACTAAGGAACACATAGAAAATTCAAACTGCTAGGGAGCCACTTGCCTTTAAACCCTGCAGAACAGCAAGGTGAGAGAAATTAAGTCATCACGAAGCAACAGAGCTCCATGACAGCGAATATCACAGCAACTGGTATTTAATTGTACTGCATCTGCTCCTTGCTTTGAGATGGTTTTTGATTAACCTATTTGTCTCGTCCACATGCACTCTGTCAGTCTTCATTAAAATCTATATTCAGTTTTGGTCTGCTTTTCAGTTGCCAGCATTCATTGATATTGAGCACTGATATTTAATTTCTCCACCATGCCTGGCATAGGACTTCATTTCCTGTATATTTGCATGGCTCATTTGTTTGTATGCAGGTACTTAAACATTTTAATATTTTTTTAACAGTATGTTAGTACTTTTTTCCCTGATTGCTAGAATGTTATACCCAGAACTGAGGATTGCCTCTGGGTTTCCCCTGGAAATAGACTATATTTACCTCAATGAGACATGCTTTCCTGACAAAGTCACTTTAAAGTCCTTTTTACAGATAAATATGTATATGCATAGTTATACAGATTACATATGTAGTATACATATGTGCACATATATATTGTGGGATAAGATAAAATAGTCCTAAAATAGCTGAAAGAAAATATACTCTTACTGTTAGTTTTTTATTGTACAGTATCACATATATTATAAAAAGCATGAGGAATAATATAAAGAAAATGAAACCTGGCATTCTAGTTTTATATTTTTATTACTTTATCAACTCCAGTATGGACTTTGTGGGGACAAAGATCTATCCTTCTATATAGTCCATCTGTCCTAGAACTGTACTATCTTATTTACAAGTCTTATCACACTATTCCCTCACTTCAGGCACAAACTAAAGGAAAAGCTGCCTCATTCAGACATGACTTCTAAGTGATATTAATTTAGGCTCATTAAGTAAAAGTGATACCTTGATCAGTAAGGTCGCAAGTCTTCGTGTTGAACTTTGGTATGAAAAATTGGAATATTATTTGAAATATTATATTTCAGCATATGGTTAACTATACTGTTACTGTATTTCTTATCTTTGTTCAGAATATTTCAACTTCCTGGGGCTCCTGGGTGGCTCAGACAGCAGAGCATCCAATTACTGGTTTTGGCTCAGGTCATGATCTCAGGGTCCTGGTATCAAGCCCCACATCAGGCTCCATGCTCAGCTGGGGTTAGCTTGAGATTCTCTCTCTCCATCTACCCCTCCCCCCACTCATGCACGCATGCGTGCAGGCTCTCTCTCTCAAGTAAATAAATCTTAAAAACAAGAATATTTCAGCTTCCCCCCACCAGATGAACTGGCAAGGAACAAAATGTATACCTGAATGAAATCATGTCCCTTATTTCTATCACTAATATTTTATTTTTTTTAAAGATTTTATTTATTTATTTATTTGACAGAGATCACAAGTAGGCAGAGAGGCAGGCAGAGAGGGGGAAGCAGGCTCCCTACTGAGCAGACTCAGATGCAGGGCTCGATCCCAAGACCCTGAGATCATGACCTGAGTTGAAGGCAGAGGCCTAACCCACTGAGCCCCAGGTGCCCCTCTATCATTAATATTATGAAACTGAAGTTATATTTTACAATTTTTTTCTTCAGTTAGCATTTTCTTTTTAACTTTAACAGTGTAATGTATTAATTAAAGTATTAATTTACTGCTTAATCTTTTTTCTCTCAAAACTCTAAATGAAATCCAATAAGCAAGCAAATGTATACGCGCACAGTTGGGGCCCTCAGGCTTTGCCTTCACTTCCTGGTACAGAATACAGACTCCTTGGCAATTAAGCACGGAAACTGCCTAAGAGACAAGGTTGGATCACTGATTGCTGGAAACCAAAGGGATCACAGAAGCCACTCTGTCTAACCCTGCACTTTACAAATGAGGAACCAGAAACAACAGAGGTTAAGGGACTTCCTGAGGACCCAAGATGACAGAAGAGAAGCTAGTCTGAGATCTACCAGAGCACCCCCTTCAGCACTCCACCAGGACGAATCTTGGTCCTGAGCCCACTCTTTGCAAAGCCTCATTATTAAAACGAGACATTATAATCAATTAGAAACACATCTTATTTATAGATTTTTGCTTCCAAATATGAGATCTGGAAGACTTAAATGGTGATTACATCTCTAGAACAGAGGTCTTAAAAGAATATTAAAAGTTCAAGAAATTGTTTTGAATAGTTTTCAAAGTCTAATTTATTAGCAATGTTATTATGACTATTGAAAACTCAGTTAATCCCTAATTTTACTTTGTTTTTCTTTTAGTTGGCCTTTTTTTCCTGATCACAAAAGGAAAATATGTGAAACAATAAAAAATAGTAATAAAATGAATACACGTCTATTATAATACATTTTGAAAACGCAAAGAAAATAAAGAAAAAAAGAACAAGGAGCCATATCCCAAGAATCGAAGACAATATTGGTAATACTGGCAATGTTTCAGCATATCTTTCCCAGGTATACATGTATATACAAATATACAGCTATATACTTAAATATAAACTTATATATTAAGATATTATAGTATATAAAATTTTATATCTTGCCTTTTCTTAGTATTTGACCATGAACATTTTCCCACTGAATAAAAGTCATTTCTAAAACATTACTAACATGAAAGTCTGTGTTTAGTGGTTATTAAAATAATAAAGTTTAAAGACATTATGACAATAAAATTATCCCATATAATTTTTGCTCACTGGACTATGTAGGCTATTACTACATCAAGTAACTCTAATGCATGAAATTACTCTAAATCAAAATTATTTTGATTTACAAGACAGTTTGTTTACAAGACAGTTGTTAGAAAAACTTGAGTGCAAGGATGCTTGGGTGGCTTGTTGGTCAAGCGTCTGCTTTCAGCTCAGGTCATGATCTCAGGGGTTCCCTGCTCAGCGGGGAGTCTGCTTCTCCCTCTCCCTCTGCCTCTACCCACCCTGCTTGTGCGCTCTTTCTCTCTCTGTATCTCCGACAAATAAATAAAATGTTTTTAAAAAAAAGAAAAGAAAAACTTGAGTGCAGATAGCTAAAGTCATTGAGGAAAATGTGTATTCTCCCAAGAAATGAAAACTCACAGAGATACCACCTGCTACTATTAAACACAGAAAGATTCAAAATGATACTATTATAACAGTAAATCTTCATAGGGTTCTGCAAAGTCATGAGGGAATAAACATTGGTACAAACATTTAGTGCCTGACATACCACTGTAGTTCAGTAAATACTGTGGAATAAACATATGTAAATCAATGTATCAACATGTCAAGACACCTGAATATGATTATGCCCTTAACTCATAATCTTTTTTTTTCTTAACTCATAATCTTAAGGGAAAATATAAAATATACACACTGAGGTACTCACTGCAGTTTTTTTAAAGGGGAAAAACTGGTGGCAACTAAATGTCCAAGACTGCTATAATTGTTAAGTAAATAACAAAGATATAAAGAGCTGTGGAGATAACTTTCAAATTAATTCAACAAGTACACTAAAATCACAGGGGTCTTGCTGAGAATTCTTAGTTTAAAATTGAAATATATAAAATATTGGTGTATTCATTCTCTTAAAATAAGATTTTATTTCATTCTTTTATTAGAGTAATGAATGCTAAAAATTGAGGAATATCACAGCATTAAGCAATATATATTCAGAATCCCACATGAATAAACTATTATTTTCCTTCCAAAATATATTATTATAGTCAAGGTCGAAGTGTTACCCATCTGACTGCCTACACGACAGAAGATGGAGTCAGAGCTTCCTCTGGTGGTCATACCAGTGGTGAAAGAAAGGAGTACTGACTTTCTATTTTCTCTATATCGTGACTTAGATAACCTTGATGTTTCCTCTTACCTAATCTTAGCCTAGGCCCAGTATTAGAGAATTTGTTAAAAGTAACACACACAGACAGACAGACACACACACACACACACACACCACTCATAGTGGTAAACCTTTAAAAAACAACTCAAGTCACAATACCTTTCTGAGCTCTGATGGCTCACTTCCTTCTTCCACCACAATCAGTTGAGATCTTCCTTTTCTCTCATTGTCCCGAATGCCAATGGCAACCTGGCTTGCCTTCAGACGCTCGTATTTGTTGCACGAGGAACCACACCATTGGTAAATTTCCTAAAAGAAAGAGACAGATCTTTTGACCCAGAAATATGTGGAGGACATTTAGCCCTGTTGTAATACTCACTGTGAGCATTAGGGAAAAAACAAAAAGATATAAAAAATAAAATGAAAGTTATCTGTTGTTGCGGTACATATAATTTTACATGCGTACACCTCATTCTGTATCGGTTGCTTTCAGTTAGCATTATGAAGTAACCATTTTTTTACACATGGAAAATATAATTATATATCTCACCATTCTTTGTGCGTATCCATTAATTACAATTTATGAAAGTATACTTGTATGTTTTACCTGTTTAAAATAATAATTTGACCATATTTCAGAAAGGTAGTAAAGAATCTGTCACAGTAATGTGCTCTTGATGATTATAAAAATTCATCTAATGCTTTTGGCAATTTAATGAATCTGATCAAAAGCCATAAAAAGAATTAAAACATTTGACCCAGTGCTATCACTATCTGGAATTCATTTTAATAAGTTATTCATAAAGATTAGGGAGAAACCATATATACAAGGGGTTTTATTGCTATATAATTATACTAGTCAGGCATTGGGAAGATGTTAAATGTTCTATAATAGGATAATAGTTATATATATTTATGATACAGAGAAAAAACAGATAATATCAAAGTTATACTTTAACATAGACATTTATGACAGTTCAATGTATTCTAAAATCAATAGGTTGTATTAGCTGCCATTTAGATTAAAATATTGTATATTTTAGACAATATCAGAAGATATAGATACAAATGTAAACTAATAATATAAAATATCATTTAATGTGGTTTTAATGAAAGAAAGAAAAATATAATGGCACCTATGCTTGGCAGGGACATAGGAATGAGCGTTGTCATTTTCTATTTGGGTTGCATAAACTGATACAGTCTTTCTGAGGGAAATTTGATTTCGTATCAAAAAATTGCATGTGCTTTTAGAATCAGGAAATTCAATTTCTGGGAATCTATCCTACGGAGGTATTCAAACATGGTTTACAAAAACAAAGAAAGATAACAGAAACCCCACAAATGTCCATCAGTAGGGGGACGGCTGTGTAAATGTTGTTATATGGAGATTTCAGACCGTTCTTTAATGCCTAAAAACTGAGAAAAGTGTTTAAATACCAACACAGAAAATCATTCAAGGTATACCCTCAAGAATAAAATAAAGTCACAGAATAATACAGTTCCATTTAAGTGGAAGCAGAAACAAAAGCTCTGTTTCTGTGTTTGTGAAGAAAGAGGTTTTTTTGTTTTTTTTTTTTTTAAAGATTTTATCCATCTACTTGACAGATAGAGATCACAAGTAGGCAGAGAGGCAGGCAGAGAGAGAGAGGAGAAAGCAGGCTCCCCGCGGAGCAGACAACCCGATGTGGGGCTCGATCCCAGGACCCTGGGATCATGACCTGAGCCGAAGGCAGAGGCTTTAACCCACTGAGCCACCCAGGTGCCCCGCGAAGAAAGAGTTTTAAAGATACACAGTTTCAACAGATGGAGAGAGGCACGTATACGCAGGAAGAAAACCTTCAATTTTTATCTAAGTTAATAGTTTTTTTCTCTCTCTTTTTTAGATGTCACATGTATTAAGTGCCTGCGATGAGGCAGATGTTGGGGATAGACAGAAGAATAAGAGAAAGCTGGCAAGGACAGATTGACGTGTAGACAACCAATGCTAATAATGTATTTGTACTTCACTTGCTTTCAAAATGGTTCCACACGGAGTTTGTGCACAGTCCATTTTGGAGAAGTGATTAACGCAGTGGGTAAGTGTGAAGGAGACAGACCCGGCTGCAACTTACCAGCTATACACCCTTGTGTTTGCAGTATTTAAAAGAGTATGTCATGTCTGTCAAATAAATAAATAAATAAATCTTTTAAAAAAGCAAAATAAAATAAAAGAGCACATTAATTAACAAGAGCAAGATAAAAGAGCACCCAGCATCCACAGAAGCCACAGAATCCACAGAAAAGAGAATGGCTCTTTTCTCTGAAGCTAAAATATTTCCAGTCCAGAGTCCATTTCTTTATTCACAAATGTTTACTGATTGCCTTAAAATGGGCTCTCTTCCCAGCCCTGGACACCCAATTTTGAATTACACAGGCCTGGGGGAGACTCTCTGACCCCTTACCCCATCCCTAGGTTCCTGATACAATTATTCCATATTCCTCCTCAAGAATAAAATACACGTTTTAGGGGCGCCTAGGTGGCTCAGTGGGTTAAAGCCTCTGCTTTCGGCTCAGGTGATCTCAGGGCCCTAGGATTGAGCCCCGCATCGGGCTCTCTGCTCAGCAGGGAGTCTGCTTCCTCCTCTCTCTCTCTCTGCCTGCCTCTCTGCCTACTTGTGATCTCTGTCTGTCAAATAAATTTAAAAAAACAAAACAAAACAAAAAATATACATTTTAGAAATTTGAGTCTTTATAAGAAGAAAAATGAAAAAGACTATGCCTTGCAACTCCTTTCACTCTAGACTCTGAACCAGTCTATGCGGTCGGTGAAGGGGTAATATCTTTTCTGTTTTTAAAAGAATGGTGCACTGCTGTTGTTTCCTCTCTAATTTCTTTTCTACATCTGGGCATCCGAAGAGGAGACTCACGTTTGGAATCCATTTGAATACTATGCCCAGGTCAGCAATTCCAAAGAGTGAAACAAATGGTGCCCAATGATTCATCCATGCCTATCACTGTGCATTAAAACCAGGTGGTGGTGTTGGGCGCCTGGGTGGCTCAGTTGGTTAAGCAACTGCCTTTGGCTCAGGTCATGATCCTGGAGTCTCAGGGTCGTGCTCACCGGGAAGTCTGCTTCTGCCTCTGACCCTCACCCTCTCCACTCTCTCTCTCTCAAATAAACAAATAGATAAATAAATAAAATCTTTAAAAAATAATAAAATCAGGTGGTGGCATTGGAAGGTGATTAAAAAAAACAAAACAAAACAGGAACCTGAGCACTTGCAAAGGATCTGCAACATCTAATGACCCAGTGCGGCCAAGCGTGCTTCTCTGCTCAGTACCCCTAGGCTCTTGTCTCAGGTTTCTTTCCCATCTTATCCCATGAGATTTTGCCCATGATTCTTTTCTCAGTGGGTCTGAGAAAGCAAACTTCTAATATCTACGTTATAGTGAAATACAGGAAGTGGATCTGAAGATTAGATCTCTAGATTTCTCAGACTTACTCGTAACTTACACAACTGATTTGCTGTGCATGTATCTAATTGTCCAACAGATGTCTGTGTTCTCCCTAACCTAGTTGTGTAAGTGACTTCTCATTGACTTCAAAGAGATTATATAAAATCACACTTAAATTTTATTAGCTTCTGTTAAGCATTATGCTAGCTTGGTAAAATGCGTTTAGAAGAGAATTGCAGATAATAATTTGACGAACATAATTATTATTTAATGTAGAATTTTACAGTAGTCCATGGATCCCCAAATATTTTCTGTGACATGACCTTGGGTTGGGAGTTTTTATGTGCAGTATCAATTCACAGATAAATTTAGTTATAGAAAATATTCCTCACCATTACAGATGGACCTCAGTTTCTACTTTAAAAATGGCAAAAAGAAGAAAGCTGGAGATACCCCAATCCATGATTTCAAGATATACTACTAAGCTACAGTAATCAAAATGGATGAGGTGCAGTAGTAGACACATAGAACAGAACAGAGAGCCCAGAAATAAACTCTTGCTTATATAGTCAATTAGTCTTTGACAAAAGGGGCAAGAATATGCACTGGGGAAAACATAGTCTCTTCAATGTGTTAGGAAAACTGGACCACTGCATGCAAAAGAGTAGAACTGGACTACTTTCTTACACCATACACAAAACTGAACTCAAAAAAGATTAGAGACCTAAATGTAAGACCTGAAACCGTTATATTCCTAAAGGAAATCACAGGGGGGAACCTCTAGGACATCAGCCTTAGCAATACTTTTTTTGATATGTCTCTTCAGGCAAGGGGGAGAACAACTGGGACCACATCAGACTAAATAGCTTCTGCACATGAAGAAAACTAGCAACAAAATGAAAAGACAAATACATGATTTCACTTAAATTTATCTAAATCTTAAAAAAAAAGAAAAAAATCCAGAACTACACAAATACCAGAATTACAATCAGAAATACAGAGAACAAATTAGTGGTTGTCAGAGGGGAGAGGCGTGGGTGAAGTAGGTGAAGGAAATTAAGAGGTACAAACGTCCAGGTATAACTAAGTCACAGGAATGAAAAGTACAACATAGGGAATATACTCATTAACATTGTAATAATGTTGTATGGCGACAGAGGGTAACCACACCTATCGTGGTGAGCACTGTATAATGTACGGAGTTGTCAAATCACTATGCTGTACACCTGAAACTAATATAACATTGTATGTCAACTACACTTCAATAAAATTTTTTTTTAAATAGCAAAAAACACATCTAGGAAATGCTCATAAAAATAATTAAACTGTTGAAAGTAAAATTTTCCTTTTTAACTCAAAGATGACCCAGTCACTAAAAAAGGTGTTAAAGAAAGTTTCTTATTGGGGGTTGCCTGGGTGGCTCAGTGGGTTAAGCCTCTGCCTTCGGCTCAGGTCATGATCTCAGGGTCCTAAGATTGAGCCCCATATCGGGCTCTCTGCTCAGCAGGGAGCCTGCTTCCTCCTCTCTCTCTGCCTGCTTTTCTGCCTACTTGTGATCTCTGTCAAATAAATAAAATAAAGTATTTAAAAAGAAAATTTCTTATTGGGCATGAAAATGAATGCTTTGTGCTATGCTTACTCTTTTATTATTTTCAGTTAATTTTGTGCTTTTCTTTCTATAAACTGACATATTATCTTATTTCCTAGACTTAATTTTCAGTGGTGAATTCAGATAAGAAATACAATAAAAAATGGACTTTAATTATAAATTGCCCACAGCCAGAATTGTTTAAAGAGTAATATTAATTTAAAAAACCCTCTTTTTTCAAGGCTACTTAAGTTTTTCTGCAAATATATTTCATTCAATCACG